GACATCCAAAGTCAACATCACAATCTCGTGTTTACCCTGCTGCCAATTCAGTGCCACTGTCAGAGCCACCATTGGGGCCATGGGTCCAATCCCAAGAGACCCTATCAATCATTATGTTTTTATATTTTTGGTTTTTTACATCTTTATGGTTTTGCAAGTCCAGCTAAAGTTGGCACCTCTTGAGCCTTTCTAATGACCTTGAATGCTTGTCTTTGGAAAGTAGCTATTGTCTCTTTTGAAACTAAGGCATTTACAATTCATTTATTTATCCATCCACTCATTCATTCATTCATTCATTCTTTGAGAGGCTGCTGAGTACCAGCCTCCAGGTGCTTATGATTTTCTTAGAAATATAGCACCTGACCTTCTAGGCTAACCCTCCCCCCTACTTCGTCCAGGTACAGAAGTAACCATTCCCTTCTTTCCCAAGCTCTGCTTCTCTTGAAATGCTATCCTCTCCAATGCTCCAGGACCAAGTGCAAATGCTTCCCAAGGCAAATATCCAGACATTTTGATTTTTTTTATTCTATAGACAATGATTTTTTTAGTCTTTCCTATAAGGGAGACCCATTGTGTTATTCTCCCTAGAAGCTGGTGCCAAAGGGAATTAAAAGTGCAGGGAATTTATTAAGGGAAATATCCATGAAAAAAGTAGTGTAGGGACACCTGGGTGGCTCAGTCAGTTAAGCATCTGCCTTCGGCTCAGGTCATGATCCCAGGGTCCTAGGATAAAGTTTGGCATTGGGCTCCCTGCTCAGCAGGAGCCTGCTTCTCCCTCTCCTCCCCATTCGTGCTCTCTGTTGCTATCTCTGTCTCTCTCTCTCTCTTTCTCTCTCTCTCTCAAATAAATAAATAAAATATTAAAAAAAGAAAAAAAATCAAGTAGAAGTGGGGAGAGTCAGGGAAAGCCCACAGACCATGATGCAGGTCTGTCCCCAAGTGAAGGAGACAGCTGTACAATCTCTGGAAGGATCTGTAAAATTATGAGGGAGTCCTTGAGCCCGAAACAGGCCTTCCTCAGTGTCCCTGCCACACTCTGCCTTTGGTTGGAAACTGCCCATGAGAAGGATGGCCTGGGTGCAAACATACCTATTGGAGGACTCAGAGCACACAGAGGGGCCTCAGTCAGTTATGACCCTGTGATTGGAAGTCTAAGAGGCAAGTTCTCATGGTCACCTCAGATGTCCATTAACATGGGGTGAAACGGGATGCCTGGGTGGCTCAGTGGTTTAGCGTCTGCCTTCAGCTTGGGTCGTGATTCCAGGATCCGGGGATCGAGTCCCACATCAGGCCCCTGCAGGGAACCTGCATCTCGCTCTGCTTGTGTCTCTGCCTCTCTGTGTGTCTCTTGTGAATTAATAAATAAAATCTTAAAAACAAAACAAAAAACATAAGGCAAAACAAGTTTCCTTCTATGCTTTCATGCCTCTTTAGTGACTTTAGTGTGCACGTATGTGTGCACTTCTGTGTGTGTGCGCACGTGTGTGTTTAGAAGGAGCCCACTCCCACAGCCACAACCACATCTCAGAAGCCCAGTTCACACCACAGACCCTTTCTTGCTCCATTGCAGACCATTCTGGTGGGTGACAGTGGCGTGGGGAAGACATCTCTGCTGGTTCAGTTCGACCAGGGCAAGTTCATCCCAGGCTCCTTCTCGGCCACCGTGGGCATAGGATTCACAGTAAGTACCTCCAGATTCTGGAGCCCTGGTGTGTCTCTGTCAGGGTCCCAGCAGGAAACAGGTGAAACAGATGGATGTCCACATTGGATCATTCATGAAAGTTTAATAAGAAGACTACTTACCACGGTGGAGGCAGGGTGTTGGAGAACCAGGGGATATGAGGCAGTGCCCATGCATAGCACAGACCCTCCATTCCAGCCTTAGCCCTAAAAAAAAAAAAAAAAAAAAAAAAATGAGAGGAAGGAACCACTGCCAGAGCCCAGGGACAAAAGGCTGCATGGAGAGGGCTGGCTGGCAGGAGCTGTGACCCTCAGAGGAGAAACACAGCAACTCATAGTAATCCTCCTGGGAGCTAGCTGACCCAGCAAGTCAGCTCCCTCCTTCCTTACTCTCCTCCTGCTCCCATATCTCCTCCCAGGACTCCCCATTGGCTGAACACAACTGAAACTAGAAAGAATATTTTGATACGTATTGCTCAGGTCCACCTTCCAACGCAAGAAGAATGTGGAAAGGCAAAAAAATAGCTTCAAATGCTAAGCACAGTTCAAATTTAACACCGTTGTGTGGTTCTTAGGGAGCTGCAGGTCAAGGGTTAAAGCACTCTGGATCTCCTGAGAGCGCAGGGTCTGTGGGACCAGACCCAGGGCTGGGACGCAGCAGCACCATACTGGTGGGAAGAGACAGGGGAACCCCAGAAACTGGGCTTCCCTGTTGGGTCACAGCAAGGAAGGCAATGACTCGTGATGGACAGAGATTCAGATAAAGCAGAAATGAAAGCGTGTATCCCAGGGCCTAGAATCCAAGCTGAGACACTGGTACCCAGGGTTCTCCCATGACCGGCCAACAGAATGCTGGGAAAGGCAGGACTGAGTCCCAGGAGAACACAGTTGCCCAAACAATTCCTGAGGCCTTGAACGAGGCTGCCATGCCAGGCATCCCCCACCATGAGCCCATACCCAGTCTGCCCCTCAGCATATGAGGTCGTAAGGGGCCCTTACGGCTACCAGCCTTCTCCCTCCAGCCATTCCATGCCCATCCTTCCACCAGTCAAACTCAGAGGGAAGACAGTGGGGTGGATGTGAATGGGAAAGCTCTGATCCATACTCCCCAGATGCATAGAGGTGGGACCTCCAAATTTTGCCACTAGCCTGGTAAGAAAAGTGAGGCATCTTGCCTCTAAGAAGGAAGAAAGTTATGTAGTCAAACTGAGCCTGAAGCAGGCTGACACAGGACAGGCCTGGTTCTCCCAAATCTACCACAGGACAAAGGAGGGTCTTGGTTGAGCTGACAACACAAATTCCAGCTGAAAATTAGAAGCCCACACTTCCCTCTGCAGGCTCTAGGAGGGGCTCCTTCCTTGCCTCTCCCAGCTTTTGGTGGCTCCCAGTAATCCTTGGTTTGTAGATGCACCACCCCAATCTCTCTGTCTTCACAGGGCCATCTTCTCCCTGTGTGTCCGCTCCTCCTCCTCCTCTGAGGACACCAGTCATATTGGATTAAGGGCTTACCCTATTCCTGTATGACTTCACCTTAACTAGTCCCATGAGCAACAACGCCACTTCCAAATAAAGTCACATTCTGAGGAACTAGGAGCTAGGATTTCAACAGATGTTTTGAGGAACATAATGTAACCCATAACAGTGTGCTTTGCAGTGGAAAGGGGTCAAGGGCCATGTCACCTCCTCTCTCTCATAGCTCCTCGGCCTCTCGTTCTAAAAACTGTTGCCCCTGCAGGGTTCCAATGTAAGCACTCAGGAGCTCAGTGCCTGGGACACTGAATGGGCTGGGGCGTTATTTGCAGCAAGAGACCCTGGCCTCTAAATAGCAGGCAACAGTGCACATCTGCAGAGTACTGTACAGCTTCTCCGCTCCCATAGATGGCTCTCTGAGGCCCACCCTACGTACAGACAAGGCTACGGCAGGCCCAGTGCCAGAAAATAGCTCCAGCTGATGCCAAAATCACAGGGCTAGAGGCAGGTGTACACACAGTCCCCACCAGGCCTATACCTCCTATAAGCCACACCTGTCCCTTGCCCATTACCCCCCAACACCTAAGTAAAGAGGTGCAGATCCCCTCTTGGCCTACATGCCCTTTATCCATTCCTTTGTAATGCCACTGTCTGTTGTGTGTGCTTGTATAGAACGCTGGGACGACAGTAAGTGAATGGTTGTCCCTCGCAACAGAGCCCCTGTCGCCTAATAGGGGCAACCCAGGACACACGCCCACTCAGTCACCTGCGATGTCACCTGGGATGTCCTGGAGAGTCTGCTCAAAATGATGCGCCACTTCATGAATTCATTTAATAGCAAATATTTAAGGCCCGCTCAGTGCCAGGAGCCCAGGGCCACGTGTGAATAGGGTCAGCCTTGCCTTCAGGAGCGCCTAGATTGGGAAGTGGGGAGATGGGGGGACTAGGCTTTCCCAGGATGGGTCATTCTGGGCGCGGCCCAACAGGTCGGGGAGAAATGAGAGCTGATCTCCACTAGAAAGGGTCAAAGTCCTAGCACCCGCCAGGGGCCGTGAAAACCCGCAGTGTCTATGTATGGCGAGGCGAATTCCGGTGGGTAAATAAAATGATATTCAGATGAGGTCGTGCTGGGGTGATTAGCATAAGCAAAAGTGCCTGAGCGCCTTCCTCACGCTGCAAACCTGGTCTCAAAAACAGCGCCTGGGGATCCCTGGGTGGCGCAGCGGTTTGGCGCCTGCCTTCGGCCCAGGGCGCGATCCTGGAGACCCGGGATCGAATCCCACGTCGGGCTCCCTGCATGGAGCCTGCTTCTCCCTCTGCCTGTGTCTCTGCCTCTCTCTCTCTCTCTCTCTCTCTCTCTCTCTCTCTGTCTCTCTGTGTGTGTGTGACTATCATAAATAAATAAAAATCTAAAAAAAAAAAAAAAACAGCGCCGGGCTGCCCAGGGGCGTCCCCAGCCCACAGCCGCGCGTGGGGCGGAGGGGGGCGGCGGGGACACCTGTCGGGCGCCGCCGGCCGGGGCTGGGGCGCCGCCTGCGGACCGCGCTGCGCAGCGGCAGCGAGAACCGGGCGCCCGAGCGCGGGTCCCCGGGACGCGGCCCTTGCAGGCGGACTGCATTTCCAGGACCTGCTCCTCCGGGGGACCCAGCCCGTCTCTGCAGCCGCGCGCGCCCCCGCGAGGCAGCCTGTCCCGGCAGGTGCCGTCGGGGCGGCGGGACGGAGGGAGGAGCCTGTCGGGGTCCCGGACCGGGCAGTGGAGGGTGGGAGGATTGGGTGGAGCCTAGAGCGGGGCGGTCCCTGCGCTGTCCCTCGCCCGCCACCAGCCCTAGTTCACCTCTGGTCCAGGGGACATGACGGGCATGTCGGGCGCCGCTGCCACCCGGGATGGAGAGGCCCCCGAGCACTCCCCGCCCTGCAGTCCGAGCTACGATGTCACGGGCAAGGTGGGTGGGCACTGCGCCCAGCGCTGGGGACTCCCCAGCCGGCTCTGAGGGCCACCCCTTCCGCGCACCCTTTGCCCCGAGACCCCGCCCGGAGCCCCTTTCTGGCTGCGTCTGCAGGGAGCCGGGTCTCCCAGAGCAGGGAGGAAGGGTGGAGACTGCGCCTGGCTCCATGCCCACGTCCGAGAGCTGGGCTGGCTCAGCAAGGGTGGGGAGAGGAAGGTCGGAAGGACGAGTGACTCCCCACAAGGCGGACCCAACCCACCCTGCTGCTACGATCTCCCGGGAAGCCCGCGTTTCTCCATATGGGTTGAGCATCCAACCCCATTGGGCACAGGCACCTCCAAATGCTAGGCTATAAGGACGCCCGGCGACCTCCTCTCCTTAAGGAGAGGACACCCCCTGGTGGCAGCGCAGTTGCGGGGCTCATGCCTCCCCCCCCCCCCGCTAAGTTCTCGGTGGCTCCTGGAGCTCTGTAGGTCCCCAGCTGCCCCCAAGCCCTACCCCCTCTCCTTTCCGCCCCCTCAGCCATCGCCTCCCACCTTCTTCCAGGAGGATGTTGCTAACCAAAGTGCAGGCCCACCTGAGAATTTTTTGAACCTAAGATTCTTGTGACTTAGTCACAAGTCCCCCGTGGGTGAGCTCAAGTCAGTTCTCTGGGGCCTATTTCCTCTGCAGGGCCGCCCTGTACAGAAGCAGGTGAGGGAAAGTGATGGACACTGGTCTGTCTGCCCCCCCTCTGGGCCCACGGAGGAGGCTGGGACCAGGAACTCTGAAAGAGGCCTTGAGGGAGCTTCCACTCTTCCTCTGTAACGCTGGGGATGAGTGAGGGGCTGCCCTGTCTTGTGCTGCGTGGCCTTGGAGGAGACCTGCCTCTTCCTGTGCCTTGGTGTCCTCCCCCACCCCCACCCCAGGTTCACTCTCACTAGGATCTGGGGCCTCCACCCTCATTGTTTCAGGGGAAGCTACTCTGCAAGTCACCCACCCAGAGCCGTTGAGATAGGCGTCCTGTGTGGGCTGGTGGCAGGAAATGGGCCCCTATGCTTTCAGGGGAGGGGGAGCTGCTAAGGGCCAGCCCCCAGGCTGGTGGAGACCGCCTGACCTCCTGGCCTGACAAGCCAGCTGGGCTGTTTGCCTAGGAGGTGGCAAGGATGGGCGGGTGTTTGTGTTTGGTGGAATTGCCTGGCTGGATGGGTGGTGAGCATCTTGTTCCAGGCAGCTGTGATCTGTAAAGTATGCAGGAGCTCACCCTCCCTCCTTTCCCCCCCTCCTTCTCTCCCCCCTTCCCCTCCAGGGCTAGGACCCAGGAGCCAGGGAGCAGTGCAGGCTCCAGAGGGCTCCCCAGCGTCCAGCCCTCCATCTCCCCTGGGTCAAGCAGCATCTGTGGAGGGGGCCCCCTGGCTTAGCTGCAGGAGACTGAGTCCAGGCCAGTCTGGGAGGAGCCTGGCAAGAGCTCCTTGGGCCAGATTCCTCTACAGTGGCCCAAGGATGCTAATTTGCAGCCATCCATCCCACTTGGGAGTTTTCTACAGAAGGAACATCAGACTTGTGGTCTCCTAATTTCAGTATAAATTTCAACCCTCCCTAGTTCATTCAACCCTTTTTTTAAAAAATGTTATTTATTTATTCATGAGAGACACAGTGAGAGAGGCAGAGACATAGGCAGAAGGAGAAGCAGGCTCCCCGTGGGGAGCCTGATGTGGGACTTGATCCCAGGACCCCAGATGATGACCTGAGCTGAAAGCAGATACTCAACCACTGAGCCACCCAGGTGCCCCTCATGCAACCCTTTTATAAACATAAAATGTCATTAGAAACTTCCAGATAAATGTTGTGACCAAAAAAAGAAAGGAAAACAAGAGCAGAGGTAATTTTAGAATATGCCTTTGCACACAACAGTGCCCGCCCCTATCAGATCCTGTAGCCTCCCTTGGGTGGTGATCCCTGTCCATGATATTAACACTTCCCTTCTGGAAGGGGTGGTTCTTTGAGGCCACTGAGTCCATTTGCTGACCTGTGAGTGCTGAGGTCTGAACACAGGCTTCCAGGAAATTGGGTAAGGACAGAAGAGTCAGAGGGAGGGCCTGAGAAATGAGCTGAGCCAAGGAGTGGAGAGGAGAGGCAGGTGAAGGGAACGGTGAACTTTCCAGAAGCAGGTAGCCCTCGGTGCTGACAGCATCCTTCCCTGGCCCTCTGCTCCTCTTTTCAGGGTCTCTCTCCTGGAAACCCAGAAATTTGCCCCAACTCCCCATTAACTGCCTCTGCCCCCATCTCCTAGGTGATGCTTCTGGGAGACTCAGGCGTTGGCAAAACCTGTTTCCTGATCCAATTCAAAGACGGGGCCTTCCTGTCCGGAAACTTCATAGCCACCGTCGGCATAGACTTCAGGGTGAGGTGGCCGCAGGCTCCTGCTCCCAGCTGCAAGCCAGGGGGGCCAGAGCTTGGGCACAGTGTGCTGTCCTCTCCTTGCCCGCCCTGGCTCCTCAGAGTTGCTGTGGCTCACTGCCCAGAGGGCACCAGGGGTGCTCCCCTTGGGACCACAGAGGTGGCCAGGTTCAAGGAGTCTGGGCATGGTGGGGGGCTCTCTGCCCACCTAAATGATGAGCAATGAGACATTGAGTCTTAAAAGTCTGCCCCACAGCAGGGCAGACACATCCCACAGTGTGAGCTGAGTTTCCTGGCCTAGGGCACCCTTGCTCTTTGCCTTCTGAGCTGGACCCGTCTGGCAAGGCCTCAGAGGCCCGCAGGTCTTTCTGGAGTTCCTGGAAGCACAGCACTGCGCTAGGTTGAAGAGCCAGGTTCACCAGGCTCCCTGTCATCTTGAGGAACCCATCTTTACCAATCTGCGTCAGGGATGTAGCACTCTGCCACTCTCTACTCAACAGGTCCAGGAGAATAAGGTCTCACCCAGGTTGGGGGGGTGGGGGGACAGAGGCTATGCAGAGGCTGGGTGCCTCTCTCCCAACAGAAAGGGAACTGAAGCTTCACTTAGGAGAACTAGTGAGCATCCAGAGGAAAGACCACCCTGCAGATCCAGCCTCTGCCGTGCCCAGGATGCTGGGGGGCATCTTACCTCTAAGGGCTGGGTTCTGCAGGGTGGGGCTGAGCTCCAGGGAAGATGGATGGAAGTGGGGAAAGAGGCAAGGGGCCCCCAGGAACCAGCCCTGTGCTGAGGTCTGGGGAGAGCCAGGTGGGTTCTCAGGCTCCTCTGGCCCCGGCATGTTGTAAGAAAAGCACAGAAGTCCCTCTAAGAACTCTGCAATCAGGGGTCTCTGGAGACAGGGTCCTGCTGCCCTGCAGGGATGATCCAGCTGGAGATGTCTCTGGGGCTCATTGCACCCCCTTTAACCCAGGGCAGCCACCAGGACAGAATGTCTGCTTCTCGGTAGGATGTCAAGAATCCAAGCCTCCCCTGCCTTCCAAATCCACCCTCCCTCTGCCCTTGTCTCTTTCAGAACAAGGTGGTGACCGTGGATGGTGTGAGGGTGAAGCTGCAGGTGAGACCAGAACCACAGGGGAGGGGGGAAGATGGAGGTGGCTGCCCTAGTTCTACACCCAAACCGCAGGAGGCCTGCAGCCCTGCCCTCAGCCTGGGGCAATTTCCTGTGGGGCCCAGAGGAAATGGCTTTTGAAGTCTGTAGAAAAAGCAATTCCCCAGCCACCCTCTCTTCTAGCAAAGGCAGCTCAACGGGCCTTCAGACAAGCTTAGGCTTGCTCCAGCTCCTCTGCAGTTTCCCAGGCCTCATCTGCTCTGGGAGACTGGATGCCCCCAACCCCTGGGCTAGGGAGGACGCTGCAGCCTGGATGAGCTGGTGAACTCAATAGCACCACTGTCTAGGACATCAGATGTTCAGAAGCCCCTGGGTACCTTCCCACACATCTCTCCTATTCCAACGTGGGTTCCCTCCGCCCAGCATGGCTCGGGCCCACAGCCGCCTTCTGACCATCTGTCTGTCCCTTCCCAGATCTGGGACACAGCCGGGCAGGAGCGATTCCGCAGTGTCACACATGCTTATTACCGAGATGCCCAGGGTAAGTCCCCCCGCCCCCAGCCCACCTGTGATACCCACCCTTCCCAGCCCCAGCTCCATGTTCCCTGTGTGATCTCTCTCTCTCCCTACAGCCTTGCTCCTGCTCTATGACATCACCAACAAGTCTTCCTTTGACAACATCCGGGTAGGTCCCCTTCACATGCCACCCATAAGCAGCCAAGGCGGGGCGGGGCCTCCGCAGGCTAGGACTGCTTCCTGCTTTGTGGGAGGGGGTGGAGCGTGGACCACTGCCGCCTATTTGAAAACACCTGAGCTATGACTCAGATGTAATAAGCTGTTGCTGGGCATTTAGTCGGCACGTGGACATGAAGGCCAGGCAGGCTGCTGGGCGCCTGTGCCACCTGCTTAGCCCTGTGATCCCTGAGTGCAATTTGTGACAATTACCCACCCACAGAGGCCAAGGGGAGAACCCAAGCAGGGGAGTCTAGCCATACATCCCGCCCCAGGTGGCAAAGAAAGTGATTCTAGCAGACAGTGAACTTTCTGTTCTTGCCATCTCCATCTTCCAGAGAATGAGGAGTTACAGTGCTTGGGGTTTGGTAAGGAAGACTGATCAAGACCCGATAGGCCAGAGCGCAGAGGCAGATAAAAGAATGCAGGGGGACAGGCAGTAGCCCAGGAAAACCAGACAGGGCAAAAGAAGGACAAGGGAGAAGGAGGGAGGGTAGGACTGGTTCTCAGGTGCCACCTGGCCCGGCTCACCCTCTCCCACAGGCCTGGCTCACTGAGATTCATGAGTACGCCCAGAGGGATGTAGTGATCATGCTGCTCGGCAACAAGGTGAGTGAGCCCATCCCTGCGCCTCCTCTCTCACTAGCTCTAAGCAAGCCCCCACAGCTGCCCCAGAGGGTTAGCTGCATGTCCTTCCAGCAAAGGATTCTTTCCAGACTCCAGTTCAAGGGTCAGGCCTATTTGGCTGCTTCGACCCATCTCATCTGCCCTCTTAAAGTTTTGGAAAAGGCTCCCTCCAGGGAGAGCCCAAGCTGCCATCTGGGAGATCCAGGGATGCCCAGCTGCACAGCCCCTATCAGATCATAGTAAGTAGGGTCACAAAGGAGGAGCTAAAACTAGCAAGGGTTAGTCCCAGCTCCTGTCACCTCTCTGAGGCTGGTCACCACGTTTCCCATCTCCCCAAGTGGCCAGTGAGATCCCCTCTGGCTGGGAGCTGGGGAACTCAGCCACAACAAGGCACAAACCAGGCTCCAAGCCAATGATACCACCCGCAGTCCCACAGGCCACCAGCAGAGGGCAGGCAGGGGCTGCTCTTGAGGCCAGATTGGGGCGCCCGTCCAGGCAGGAGAGGGACCAGCTGGGGTGGAGGTCTCCTTCCCCAGAGTGACCCACCTGGGCTTGACAGGCCGACGTGAGCAATGAAAGGGTGATCCGTTCCGAGGATGGAGAGACACTAGCCAGGGTAAGTGACCGCCCCGGAGCAGGACGAGGGGTGGGGACAGCCAGAGGCTGGCCCTGAGGACATTGTCTCCTGGCAGGAGTACGGCGTTCCCTTCATGGAGACCAGCGCCAAGACGGGCATGAATGTGGAGTTAGCCTTTCTGGCCATTGCCAAGTAAGAGCTGAGCAAGGAAGGGAACCGTGCAGGGCAGGGTGGCACCAACTGGGAATCCAGTAGGGCCTGGCCCCTAGCCCAGCCCCTGCCCCCATGCATGGTGCATTCTAGGTCCAGTAGCCCCAGGCTGTGGGAGTGGGCAGGGGGTGGTTCCTCACTCCTTGCCCAGCCCACTGCTTCTTCCTCTTCAAGGGAGCTGAAGTACAGAGCCTTGTGGCACCCTGATGGGCCCCGCTTCCAGATCCGAGACTTTGTGGAATCCCAGAAGAAACAGCCCAGCTGCTGCTCCTTCTCATGAATCCCAAGGGGCTGAAAGGATGCTCCAGAGGCCCCCACGGATGCACCCTCCTCCTCCAGATCTGGTGTATTTTGAAGCAGCCGGGAGTTGGGGGATCCAGGGCACAGCCCCTTCCCAAGAGGGAGCTGTATTCCCACTCTTACCCTAGTTCCTGTAGCTTCCCTGCATCCTGGGGGAGGGTAAATATTTCATTTTAATGATACATAATGTAATGCAAAAAGGGAAGACAGGGACCTGGTGGCCCTTTTGCCTTCGGCACTAGGACTTGGGGGCGGAGGCTCCCTCCTAGCCATGACAAGGGTGGCATTCTCCAGCTCAGCGCCAGAGGGCAGTGATGCACTTCTACAGTGGGAGGGCAGGAAGTGACCCCTTGCCACCCTCACCTCAGCTGGACAGGAGAGGCAGACTCCAGCTTTATTTCCTCCTGCACCCAGGGAACAGTCTTCCCCGGTAAGATGGGCCCTTGTGCTGGGAGCCAGACCAACGCCCAGGGAAGATAAGCGATGTGGAGATTGGACAGTGACCCCGCTCTGTGGGTAGAGGAGAGAGGAGTAGCACAGGCTAGGTCTTTCGGTTTGGCTGCCTCTAGCCTGGCTAGCCCCACTCTGAAAGGTGTACCCACAAACTGAAAGCATTTGGTTCCTGTTCTTTGGACCTCAGGTCCCAGGGGAACCCCTCCATCCCCCCCCCCCCAAATCCCTAGTCTTCTCTACCTTTTGGCTTGTGCCCCTGGGCACCTAAGGTCACAGCTAGGGAAAGATTTTTTTCTTCTGCCCCAACACTTTGGCAGATATGCAGCCCCACAGGCTACTTCAAATAGCTGTAGTGCTTCTACTGAGTTAAGAATCAGATAAGGAGAAACCCCTGACTCCTGGAACAGGTGGGAGGCAGAACCCAGCAAACCTCATCCCGCACATACCCCCTCCCCCCCAAACCCAAGCGCTGCCTACTTCCTGACCACTCCTGCCGTTTCCCTTCGGACAGACACAGAGACCAAAACTGTTTTATGTCCCCTCCCACTGAGCCAGGTTAGGGAATGAGAGGTCACCCATTTCTGGATAAACCAATACAACGTGTCCAAAACAAGGTCATGTAGGTAAGACCAGGTGAAGAGAGAGACACCAAGAAGTTTCTGTGGGGCCAAGGTCACCTGTCTCACAGAACTCTGACCCCGGCAAATGAAGGTGAACAGGAGACATGTGGGTCATGACCTGAAGGAGAGAAAGAAGTACACACTGCACATTTCTAAGGCCACTGCATATGCTTTCAAGGCAGAAATCTTGCCCTCTGAGCACAGTCAGCAGCTCCAACTTGAGCCTGATAAGGAAGCTCTCTGAGGCTTCTCCCAGGAGGAGCAGGGAGGAGCCTGACCTTGCTGGGCTCTTTGGGGGCCCAAGGCAAGTCGCAGGCAATCCAATCACGTGGGCAGCTCTGGGCCTCTATCCGGTGGTGTTTTCAGAATGAAATTGCGGAATTTGCAAAGTAAATTGCGGAATATGGAAAAGTAAAATCGACTGCTTCTCTGAGGTGCGCCCCCCCCCCCCCGGGGAGGGGACAGGGGAGATCACATTGAAAGGATTGTTATTGCATGTTGGGAGAACCATCAATGACTGCCCACATCATTGATCTTTATCTTTCAATGCCCCCAACTGCTCCCCAACTTCTGGTGACCAGCCTTTCTCATCTCCAAGGAGCTGAAAGGTTTGTCTTAAGGTCTCATTTCGGGTTTGTTGGTTTCTACTGAAAATATCCAGGGCTAAAAAAGAAAAGAAAAGAAAAAAAGAAAAGAAAAGAAAGAAAAGAAAAGAAAAGAAAGAAAAGAAAAGAAAAGAAAAAAGATCCAGGGCTCTGCCCTGTACCCAGAGGTTGGTGACCTGATTCAGCTCCGCCTCCCCCCGCCCTCCAATGCCCCAGCTGAACGCTGACGCCCCTGCTCACACCCTTGTCCTAGGTGGCCTGTCTGCAGTGGGCAGCCCCGGGAAGCTGGGGCTCCCTGGGGAGCCCTCACACTGTCCCAGGGAGGATGAGAGTCCGCACCCCCGGTAGCGTGTCCTTGAACAATGCAAAGTCCACGAACGGGAAAGTATCGTTATTCAAACAACTGTGTTAGGTTCCGGAGGAGGGGGACCTAGTTCTTATGGGTAAGGGTTCTGGGACCCTGCAGCCCCGGAGCTGGAGTGGTTTCCCTGGCAACGGACGCTCCCACTCCCCCCCACCCCCACCCCACCCCCGCACAGAAGTGCACACAAGAATTTAGCTAAAGGTTGTTAAAGCGTCAGAGTCCCTCATCCGTGGGTTGGCTCTCCCCGATCCCCGCCAAGGGTAGGGAGAACCAGGAGCCTACGGGCCTCTCCGCCCAGTACCGGGAACTCGCCCCGCCCCCCGCCCCAACTCCGGCCGCTCGCTAACAAACACTTCCACTTCCTGAGCCCTCTTTCTTCTCGCGCCGCGGGGCGCCGCGCCGAGCACGGGCCACGCCCCCCAACGCGGGGCCACGCCCCCGCGCGCTCCCATTGGTCGGCGTCGTTCACCCGGCCCGAGCGCCCCGGCCCGAGGCCTCTGATTGGGCCGCGGTGTCCACACCCTCGGGCCGGCCCCGCCCCCGGAATAAGGGGCTGGAGCAGCTTCGCGGGCGCTCAGACGCCGCGCGGGGTGCGGACTGGCCCACGCGCTCCTGCTTCGGCCCCTCGCAGTCCGCAGCCGCCGCTCGTCTCCCACCTGTTGGCTCAGCGCGTCCCGCGGCGCGGCGCGGCGGTTCTCTGCAGCGCGCCCCCCCCTTCCGCCTGCGGGTCCGCCGGGCGGGGAGAAGGGCGGCACCGGCCCCCAACGGGACCCCACGTCGCACCGCTGAGCCGTCGCGGGGCGAGATGAGCGCGGACGCGGCGGCCGGGGCGCCCCTGCCCCGGCTCTGCTGTCTGGAGAAGGGCCCGAACGGCTACGGCTTCCACCTGCACGGGGAGAAGGGCAAGGTGGGCCAGTTCATCCGGCTGGTGGAGCCCGGTTCTCCGGCCGAGAAGGCGGGGCTGCTGGCCGGAGACCGGCTGGTGGAGGTGAACGGCGAGAACGTAGAGAAGGAGACCCATCAGCAGGTGGTGAGCCGCATCCGCGCCGCGCTCAACGCCGTGCGCCTGCTGGTGGTCGACCCCGACGCGGACGAGCGGCTGCAGAAGCTGGGCGTCCCGGTGCGGGAGGAGCTGCTGCGCGCCCAGGACGGGCCCGGGCAGGCCGAGCCGCCGGCCGCCACCGAGGCGCGGGGGGCTGGCGCCGAAAGCGAGCCGCAGGCCGCCGCGCCCGAGCCGCGCGAAACCGAGAGGAGCGGTCCCGAGCGGGTGAGTGTGGGGCCCCGACCCCGCGGCGACCGGGACGGGGTGCGACGGGGAATCGGGAAGAGACCCGGGCGCCCTCGGACGGCCGACCCCGCGCCCGCCGCCTCTTTCTGAAACCAGATCCCCGAGGGGGAGGTTGCTTCCGCCGGCCGACAGGTCGCGCTGGAAGCTGCTGGCTTGGGGCTGCGTCCCGTTACCCCCACCCGCCTCCCCAGACTGGGCCGCCGGGCCGCCGAGCGCCTGGCCACCTGCACTCCGCGTCCCTTGGCCTTTGGGAGTAGCAGGGAGGGAGGGCGGGCAGCTCGAGGGAGCCCAGGCGTCTTTCCCCGGCCCTGTTGGCGGCGTCTGCTCCCGTCCTTCGGAACCCCCCAATCCAGGCCCTCCTCGGCCACCCCACTCCCAGCCGCCGCGGTAGATGAAGCTGGGGTGAGCGACCCCCACCCCGACTTCCGACAGCTAGAGGAATGACAGCCCCCCTTTCGGTGCGGAGCCCCAGCACGAGGGGAGGGAGGGGTCGCCGACGGGGTCCTCCCCGCACCCCCGCACCCCCGCACCCGGCACCCCCGCCGGCCGGTGCGTGTATCATTAACCTCATCCCGGCTGGACTTCATCCTCCCGAGGTACAGTGTGGCTTTTAACAAGAGAGGAAGCCCCACCACCTCTGGGCGAAGTGTGGGGGTGGGGGGTGGGGAGGAGGTGCAGAGGCGTGTGGGGACGGGGTGGCGGCCCTGCCACCCAGGAGGATTTATGAGTCTCAGGAATGTGAGGAGTAAGCGCTCGCTGGTATCTGGGAACGGGAGGGGAGGACCTTGGAGGAAGAGCAGCGGCTGGGAGGAAGGAGGGGACAGAGTGGTGCCTGTTGCTGGGCGATGCACAAACCAGCGGGGCTCAGCCCCCGGCAGGTGGTCTTGCCCTATCATTGTCTGTCTCACTCCAGTCCCCGGACAGCAACAGGCTGGTTGCCTTTTACCCATGTTTGGGGTTTCTCCCCAAAGGATCTCAGTTTGGATCAGCTACAGGTGGGGCAGTAGCAAAACAGGAGTTGGGATGAGAGCTTCTTGTCCCCAGAGAGTGAAGGGGGAAGCCTTAGGGTACAGACTGGGGGCGGAGGGGGGAGTGGAGCAGAGCCTGGGCCTCTCAGGGCCCATTTGGCTTGCACCAGCTCTCCACCTGGTGGCAGCGTGTGGCAGGAGTGTCCATGGTGCCAACAGAAGCCTCCTGGACATAGAAAGGGCACCCTTCAGCCTTAAGGTAGAAGGTGGAGCCCGAGAGGACCAGCTGGTTTGGTGGAAGTGAGGTCACCAGGAGCCCCATCCAGCCGGAGCTGGGTGCTGGGAATACTAGGGCCGCCAGGCTCCCACTTCCTGCCGCTGCCAAGCTGGCATTGGCAACGGTGGGGGAGGGGTCGGAGCATCCCTGGCAAGGGTTTTACACTAGGGAGTTGGAACCCATGACCTCTGATCCCAGGCAGAAATCCAGTTTGAACTTCGTGCTGAGCTGAGTGTATCAATTTGCCATTCCCTTTTTCCTTGCTTGCTTTTTTTTTTGGACTTTGGCACTGGCACCAATAACCACCACCCCACTCCCCATCCCCCGCCAAGATGCTGTTATGTTCAGCTCCTCCCCTTGCCCTTTCGGGTTTTTTTTTTCTTTTTTTTTTTTTTTCTGCTGCGTGCGGGAGGATCTGGGGAGAGGTGGAGGATGCCAGGGGCGTGGAGGCTTGACCTAGCATATGCACTCCCACCATGCCTTCTGGAAAAGCAGCGGAGCTTGCCTTCCTGCTTTCTGGGTGACAACAGAATCGGATTCCTCCAGATAGTGACATGACATCTGCATTTGTGCATACTTTGTTACGTTAGGCCAGGAGAGGAAAGTCTAGTACCCTCCAGCCAGTCCTGCGGACACCATCACCAGACCTCTTGGGCAAGTCGCGGAACTTCCCTGAGCCTTGGTTCTCCCATCTGTAAAATGGAGAGTGTTGTAATACAGTGACATCTGCCTCCTCCAGGATTTTACAAATAGTGGGAAGTACGTGAGTCCCAAGTGGATGCTGAATTGAGCACTTCTCTGTCCAGGCATTTGAGCAAGGATTCCTTCATTCTCATGCAAAGCCAGTCCCTTTGGTAGGAAATTCCCATGAAATCTGGTATGGTGGCCAGGCAAGGGACCACCACTCTGTCATTGGGAAAAGAGGAAAAAAGCTAATAAACACAGTAAGACTTACTTTTTCCCTAAAAAGTATCTCCTATAAAGAATTTGAGTTTTACTAATTTGCTGTAGCCTGAATTTGTTTGCAAGGTGGGGACTCTTATCGTATCTTTATTGGTTCTCACAAGTGAGAAAGGTGTTAAGTGGAAAATTTCCACGCAGAGAGTGGGCGGCAGATGATATCTCATTGGGAGGACCAGCCTGGGTCGAGAATCATACAGGGCAGAGGGTGTGGGGTCCCTGTAGAACCTCTGAGTGGGGGGAAGGGGACTTCCAATTGTGTCCACCTGCTCTGTTGGTGGTTTCCCCACCCCCACTGAGAGAGGAGTAACAAAACAACACCCCAGCTTACCTCCCCCCAGTCCCCACCCCCACCCCTGCAGTCACAGTGGTGGATGGGCAGCAGGCCTGAGCCACCTCAGCTGTACTAGCTGGGCCGCCTCAAGCCAAGTGTTGTAACCTCCCTGTGCCTTCTGGTGTATGTTGGGATCACAGCAGCTGCCAGATGGGTGGGATAATAGGGGGTGGTCAGTAGCTCTGTGCCTGGCACTAAGTAAGTGCTCAGCAAACGTGACTCTTGGTATTGGAACTGATAAGTATTTCACGGTGATCATTACATGCCCACCCCTGGGGCAGCCAGCCCTGGATCTACCCCTCATTGGGCACGTGCAGCCATGTCCAAGCCTGGCGTTCAATGAGTGCTCAATTAGAGGCTGCTGTTCTTGAATAATCGAAAGGTGTTCTGCAGCCCTTCCCAATCCAGCAGCCGGAGGATAACTACCCTTCAGCCTGGGAACCTGTCAGCCCCTTTCTCCACAAGGCACACTCTGCAAAACTACTCACGGCCCTCGGAGCCTTTCCTAGAGCCCACTAGCAGAATGAGATTTTCCTTTGCTCTCCTCCTCCTCCCTGTCCTATACATCTTTTCTTGCTCTGAACACACAGTATTTGAGTCAGTTGTTCATGATCTTGACCCACTGCGAAGGTGAGGAGGTCAAAGGCTGAGGCTTCTTTGTACTTACATCCCCATAGCTGTGCCTGGCCCTGAGTAGGGAGGGGCCCACATAATTTTTGAATGAATGAATGTCTAACAGCCATCGGGCACCCTTATCCTAATTCATCTCAGTCCAGCACACCTGGACCTATTTGTGCCCAGAGATCAGAATTCCAGGCACACCCAGAGATCAGAATTCCAGACAGAACCTACCCACTCCTTTTTCTTGCCTGCTAGCAGCTTCCATCTGTGGACTAGAAAGCTAAAATTCTGGACGTCATGGTCAGCTGGCTCTGGCACCCTAATTGTCCATTGTTGGCTGCAAACCTCAGCTTCTTCCTCTGGGAAGTGGGAACACCAGAACCCACCATGCAGGATTTTGGGGAGATTTTTTTTGGGGGGGTGGGGGAGATTTGATGAGATGATAGGGGTGTGTGTATGTGTTGGTGCCCAGCTTGGGATGTGTTCTTGCCAGACCTGACTCTGATCCCAGAGGCAGAAACAGCACAGGGGTACCTGGCTCTCTCAGTCGGTGGAGAGTGTGACTCTTGGTCTCAGGGTCTTGAGTTTGATTTCCCATATTGGATGTGGAACCTACTTAAAAATTTCAAATGAAAAAGAAAGAAAGAAACAGTGCAGGGCACCCCAGGCAGCAAGGTGGGTGGGTGGACACAATTAACTGGCGGACTACCAACTTCCTTCCCGGGACAGGCCATTCCACACTGTCCCAGTTGGTGTTTGGAAGGGCACAACAGAATCTGAGCTGCAGGATGTTTGGATTTTAAATCAATGGGGTATGTGATAGTTTGAGTGTTGTTGGTTCCTTCTCATAAGCTGCATATTTGGGATCTCTTTCTCTTCTGGTTCTTACCTTCAGGCTCCTATAAAGTTAAGTCAGTAAATCTGGGGGTGATTCTCTTGGAGACAGAATGGGGCATCCTTCTCCATGTGTCTAGATGCAGGCCTTTCTCTCCCTGTCCAGCCTCCCATCCCACGGGGCGCCGGGGAGGTGGGGGAGCATTTAGGAATTAGTGCTGCAGGCCTTTTACAGAGAGAAGCCAGAGTTCTCGACCCTAATACTACTACTAGATGCTCCTCTGCGTGTTGCTGCTCTGAGATGGAGCAGCCATAGAGGGGAAGGAAACTCAAAAGTTCTAGTGCAGCCTTGTGCCACAGAGATACTGATGTTCATTTCATGGATTCCCCTAGGACAGGACAGCCCTGCAAATTAGGTAGCAGTTTTTCCATTTTGTGAGCCGAGAGTAATCATTTCAGTAAATGATAGCTATTATTTGTGTCCGGCAAATGTGCTGTGTACTAAACATGCCCTCTATCGGGGCGCCTGAGTGGCCCAGTCCATTAAAGCATCCAAGTCTTTTTTTTTATAAGATTTTATTTATTTATTCATGAGAGACACACAGAGAGGCAGAGACATAGGCAGATGGAGAAGGAGGCTCCCCACGGAGAGCCTGATGCGGGACTAGATCCCAGGACCCCAGGGACACACCCTAAGCCAAAGGCAGGCCCTCAACCACTGAGCCCCCCAGGTGCCCCAGCATCCAACTCTTGATTTCAGCTCAGGTCCTGATCTCAGGGTCATGAGATGTGCTCAGGGAGGGAGGCTGCTCTTTCGTTCTATGTGCGTGCTCACTCTCTCAAATAAATCTTCTTTAAAAAATAATAATATGCCTGATGTCATTCAATCTATAAAACAGCCCCATGAGGCAGATATTAGCCCCCATGGTCTACATGGAAACTGAGCCTTGGTCGGTCCAGGTGGGCTGCCCCAGGCTGTCAGCTA